ATGCCTGTACAACATTCTCTCCAGCCCAGCAGCCTGTACTCTTGGTACAAGTTGACAGGTGTCTGAAAGAGCCATGAGGACCTATTCTCAAGGAAACCCTAACAGTGTATTCAGGTTTGCCTATTCAGGTTTGACCCGTGAAAGACTGGTATAAGGACTTCTTTGTTTCACCCAACTCTGTGCACTGGAGCAGCTTCCTAAGTAGCATTTGCAAAAATAAAATTAAGGCAAAAGTATGTGGGGAGTGGAGATGTAGCTTAAAATAGACCATTCCCATGTGAAAGGTCTTGGTTTGATTCCTTACACTGCAAAAAAATTCAAAAACACAACAGCAAAAAACAAAACAAAACAAAACAAAACCACAACAGCAAAGCGAAATGTCCAGTTTCTAGCTCCATGGTAAGGCATATGCTTTGCATGTGTGAGGTCCTGTGTTTTATCCTGGGTAACATAAACACTTGCATACATGCAGGGTATCTGACCAAAGATTATGAAACTAAATTTGCCCTCTCTTTAATACTAGCATTATTGAAATGATATTTGAAAATATTTATTGATAGTAGTATTATTCACAGTAGTGAAAATGTGGAATCAATGTAAATGCCCATTGACAGATAACTGGAAAAAGTGTTAGTGTAATACTACTCAACTATTAAAAGAAGATGAAATCTTGGTGACAACATGGATGGAACCTAAAATGATTATGTTAAGCAAATTAAGACAGAAAGTGAGAGATGATTATTATATAGTTTCACTTATGTGAGATATAAATAACCAAACAAACTGGCAAAACATCACAAAAATGACCTGTAGTCTGTGAGAAATACAGTGTTGTGAGAGAAGAGAAGGTGGTAGAAATGATAGGGGGAATAAATTTGAAGGTGTGATGGCAACTAGAACTTTGGTGGTAGGTTATAAAAGCACATAGACATACACAGCAAGGTATGAAGCTGTACTACTACTGACATATAGCATTGTAAAACAGTATAATTTTACTAAAATTCTCTGTCAATCTGATTCCTGAACACCTTTCCAGCACTGAGCCAAGACTGATGTCCAAGCACACTGCTGGTGTGGCCCCTAACTCTCTCTAACTCTGTCTATCTCTGTCTCTGTCGCTCTCTCTCAATCTGTGAAGCTCTTGGTTCTGGACATTGTCCTATTAGTAGAATTTTTATTATTGATCCAATCTTTGTACTTATTGTATATCCGTTTACATTTTCCATTTTTTCTTGAAATCACTTTGGTAGTTTGTGTATTTTTAGAAATTTGTTTTATCCATGTATGTAAACTGTTGGCATATCTAAATTGCTGGTTCATAGTATTCTTTTAATCATTTTTTATGTGCAGTCTGTTGTAAATGTTCTGCTTTCATTCCATATTTCAATCATTTGAATCTTTGTTTTTCTTGAACAATCTATTTAATTTGACAGTTTTGTTCATCATTCCAAAAAATTGAGTTCATTAATTTTTAAATTAAATTTTAATAAACTTTTGTGTTCATTAATTTTTAAATTTTTCTTTGCTTTATTTTGTTAATCTCCATTTAAATTTTATTATTTCCATTCTTATGCTTGCTTTAGATTTAGTTTTCTCTTCTTTTTTCTAAATCACTAAAGTGGGAAGTTAGGTTAAGTTGGCATATTTCATTTTTTAATATAGGAACCTATACAATACATTTATTTCTGAATACTCATTTTATTAAAGCCTAATAGGTTGGGTATATATTTGTATTCGTTAAATTCTATGTATTTTACAATTTCTCAAGGTCTTTTTCTTTGACTCCAATGGTTGTTGGATAATATTGTTCAATTTTTCACATATTCACATATTCTGTAAACTTCCTCTTTTTTCAGTTTTGTTTCACTGTTGACATAGAATATACTTAGTATGATTTCACTTTTTTGGTTTTTGGGGCCACATCCTGCAGTGCTTAAGTCTTGCTCCTAGCTCTGCGCTTAGGGATCACTCCTGGCAGGATCATGGGATCATATGGGGGTGCCAGGCATCAAACCTGGGTCAACTGTGAGCAAGGCAAATGCCTTACCCACTGTACTGTGGCTCCAGACCAGTATGGTTTCACCTTTTGAGCTCTTTTTGTTTGTTTTGTGGCCATACACAGCCGTGCTCAAGACTTGCACCCGTTTCTGTGCCTAGGGTTCACTCCTGGCAGGTTCAGGAGAAACATGCGGTGTCAAGGATTGAACTGAGTTAGCAATGTGCAAGACAAGCAGCCTACTTTCTGTACTATGACACCAGTCCCATCATTTTTGTATACTTATTAAGACCTGTTGTGAGGTCTAGTGAGTATATGCTCTATCGTGGAGATGCTTTCATGTGTACTTGAGAAGAGAAAGTTGTGTGCTCTTTTGGGTTGATTGCTCTATAGATGCTTGTCAGAATTATTAGATATGTTATAGTATATCTCAAGTCTTATCTCAAGTCTTATATTTATTGGCATTTTGTTACCTTTCTGTCAATTATGAAAAATGGAATATTGAACTGTATAATTGAATTTATTTCCCTTAAGTTATATTTAACATGTATTTGGGGCCTCTGTTGTTAGAGGTATATATAAAGTACAAATATATTTATAATTTCTTTTGGGGGGCCACACCCAGTAGTGCTCAGGGGATACTTCTGGCTCTGTACCAAGGAATCAGTCCTGGTGGATTTGGGGAATTATATGGGATGCCAAGATTGGACCTGGACTGGTTATGTACACGGTACCCTCTGTACTATGTCTCCCACCATGGTATATTTTCTTTCTGTTTTTCTTTTCTTTATTCAAAATTTAGTCACCACAAAACTACAAAGTCCTTCATGATTAGGTTTCAGGCAAGCAATGTTTCAACACTAATCCCTTCACCAGTGTCCATGTCCCTCTAACAGTGCCCACCCCTCTTCCAACTCACCCACCAGTCTGTTTCTGTTTCCTTCTACCATATATGTTGGTGTCCAATCCCTCAGCCCCTCAAGTGGTATGTTTCCTACTGAATGCCAGTTCTCATGTTTTCTCATATCCCTTTGACTTTGGATATTCTGTTATTCCACCATTATGTTTCTTCAGATCCCACATATGAGAGAGATCATTCTCTGTCAGTGTGATGACTAACTTCGCTCAACATGATGTACTCTGGGACCCTCTGTATAGCAGCAAATGTCATGACTTTGATACAGATTGTTTTTGAAAAGGCAATCACCCTTTCTAAAATTATATAATTTTTATATTAGCATTTTAAAATCTTAAGGTATGGCTACCATTTGTGTGAAATAAGTTTCTCTCTCTTTTTTACTTTCAATCACTCTCATCTTTGAATCTGTTATTTTGTTTGGGGGTTACATCCAGCAATTCTTAAGGCTTACTCCTGGTTCTGTACTCAGGAATTAGTCCTAGTGGGGTTTGGAACACTATACAGGATGCCTGGGATCAAAATCTGTGCTGTGCAAAGCAAGCAGTACTATTGTTCTGACTCCATGGATATATTTTAGAAAATAAAATATCAGGAACTGGACAGATAGTACAGTGGGTCAGACACTTACCTTGTACATACACAACCCAGGTTTGATCTCCCTGGCATCTCATATGGTCCCCCAAGCACTGCCAAGGGTAATTCTTGAGTTCAGAGCCAGAAACAACCCCTGAGCATTACCAGGTGTGACCCTAAAGCTAAAAAAAAAAAGTATCCATTCTTCCATTTTCATGCACAAATTGGAATTAATGTGATTCATTTATAAGAAATTCTGACATTGTATATGGTCTCATCATTGTACTATTTCCTGGACTTGTCTTTCATATATATCTATGTTTCCTTGGGAGAATCCAGATACTCTTTATTGTAGCCTGAAAGACTACATTATTATTTCTTATAAAGAAAACACAGATCATGCCAGGAACATTTAATCTGTACAAAAAAGATACTGGCTGAGGACAGAGTCAGTGAGGTAAACAGAATTTTTTTTTCGATTTTTAGCTCACACCGGACGATGCACAGGGATTACTCCTGTCTTTGCACTCAGGAATTATACCTGGCATTACTCAGGGGACCATATGGGATGCTGGGAATTGAACCTGTGTCAGCTGCATGCAAGGCAAACGCCCTACCCATTGTACTATTGATTCAGCCCCAGTGAGGTAAACATGAGAGTGAAATTTTAAATTTCTGCTTTGGAAGCAGGGGCACCAAAGCAATACTCAGATGGCCTGGGAAGTCACTCCCCTTCATCATTGCCCAACCTGGCAAAACGGTTCACTGGTTGGCATTCTATGAGGCTAGAGGGACATGCCCTGGCAGTGACCTAATCCCAGGTAATCACTCCATCCTTGCAAGCTATGTCCCTAGACTGAGATAATTTATTGAGGGAATTCAGGGAGTTAATCACTTACTAGGTTTTCCTGAAGTCATGAACTTTAAGTTCGTTTGCTCAGGATGAGAAGGGAAGGGTGCAGACAGTTGGTCAAAGAGTCCTAAAAAGATCTCAAGGTGTCTTGAGATTTAATGGGGTATGGATCTGAGAGAACAGTAAAATAACATTAACCCATATATACAATGCCACCATCCAGTCAGGAGTTTATTCTCTGAGGCTGATATTAATCCTCCTGCTGAAGTTCTTCAAGGCAGTGAATATTCTCTCTCTCACTCTCTCTCTCTCTCTAAAAAATAACAACAACCCAATTCTGACTACACCGTTTCTCTTGGTAACTGTGTTCATGGCAACCTGTTTGCTTGGTCAGTCATCAGGCCTTGCTTCCTGGCCTCTGTGATGTCATAGCCCACTGTCCCCCAGAGCCTGGCCAGACAAGAAACAGGCTTTAGTCCTTGGGCTGGGGTAAAGAGGAGGTGGGAAAGAACAGCTACCCCAAAAGTAGTCAGAACTGAAGAACTAAAGTAGAATTAAGCGGGATGCTAGGAAGACCTGTTGGTGACTGTAGCCTTTCCCACCAGCATCTGGGGCCATTAGACTGCTAAACTGCACACACCAGAAGAATAGCCGCCCCCATGTCTATAGAATCCGGAGACCAGGGCAGTGGCTTCCGCCACCACGAAGTCGTTCAGTTCATTAACAATGAAGTTCACGCAAATGGAGGCGGCCGTGATATCTACACCACCTTTCGCTCTCGCTCCTGGAATGAGGTCGAAGACTGCCTTCAGACCGTGGTGGCTGACCCGCAGGTACCTCACAACGTCAAGCAGGCCTGCACATGGAGCGGGTTAGCGCTGAACGTTCGCTTTGCCGCCCAGCAGCAAGAGCAGCAAGCACAGAGGGTCCAGCTGCTTCAAGCACAAATTGAGGAGAGCCAAGCCACTACCTGGGCTCTGGCGACCGAGTTACAGCAAGTGCGAGGAGACTGTGAGGCCATGGCTGCCCAACTCCACTTCACAGGTCTCACCCTGCAGCAAGTCCTGTGGGAACGGGATGCTCTCCACGCCAGACTGCTCCATGAGAGAATGGCTCGGAGGGCCTCTTTCATCCCTGACGAGCCTGTCTCTCAAGCAGATCAGCCGGAAATGACACCATGGCAGACGAATGCAGAGCAACGGGGTGATTATTGCACAGAAATACATAGCAGTTCATATTTTGAGGACCCATTACCAACTATGCTTTATGTACCTGGACCCCTAACTCTTTGGGCCTCACTAATGCAAACACCAATGCTGATGCCAATACCTTGGCCATTTCTGTGCCCCACAGTTTTTTCAACACAAGTTCCATTCTTGGCACCGCCATTATCAGTAGTTATGGAAACAGAGCCGACTTTTGCCCCGCTTCAGATACCCACTCCTCTGGGGATCTATCCAGCTGGCCCATGGGCATCAATGGGTGCCCAGAATGACATGGTCTCACTGTGGGACCAGGGGAACTATGAACCTGAGGAAGAGTCCTGTACGTATCAGCATCCTGGCACCCTGGAAGATAGCACAATCCAGTTCCAGCAAAATCCAGATCAGTCCCAGGCCTTCTTTGAAGAGAACTGCTGCCACATCCAGACGGATGGTGCAGAAAATACCCAACAGGTGCCCCCTTCTGGTGATGATACCTGGGACTTGAGCAGAAGAAATCAAGAGAGAAACCAGGGGTTGACCCCGCTAGAGGATTGCTGTCATCACCACCAGGAAGGAGATTCAGAGAAAACCCAGAAGGTGGATACCATGGGTGAAAACATACACTTCCTCTGTGAAAGTCCTGAGAGGCCACAAGCATTAACTCCCCAGAGGTGTATTGTTATTCATAGTCATGAAGAAGATATAGAGGCTTCCCAAAGTCCCTTTCTCGTGGAAGACAGTGGAACTCAGAACCAGGAGAAAGGTATAGATGAACCTCAGGAGTTGCCTCCCCTAAAAGACAACAGGACCCAAGACCAAGAAGATAATCTGGAACAACCTCATAGGAATACCCTGCTGGGGGCACGTAAAAAACACATGAAACAGCAAATTCCAGACCTAGAACAGGAAACTGGGCCTCTGACTGACATCAGGAGCAACCAGGAAGAAAGTTCAAAGCATGTGCAGTGTAGTAGCAATCCTAAGGCAATCCCCCTCAGGGGCAACCAGAGCAAGAACACCCAGGAGAAGACCTCTAACAAGAGCCAGGGATCTAAAAAAAACCGAAAGAAGCAGCAGGCACAGGGGCTGAGGGCCAAACAATTTAAAGGGAAAAAAAGAGTCTCAGAGTCTCAGAACCAGGACAGGTGTGTACTTACTTTTCTTTCTTTTAAACTGGAACTGTCCAGGGTGTAAGGCTGTCAATTTTTCCTGGTGCACAGTTTGTTATAAGTGTAAAAAGATTCTTAAGGCACTTGAGAACTTAGGTCTAGACCCAGAACATACTCAATATTTTCATGAAAGTAAGTTAGAATGGAAACATTTCAAGGAAAATACATTTCCTAAGGTAACCTTCTGATAAAATTGACTTCACAGACAATTTGAAAACAAAATTTTTGTAAAGAAAAGAAAACCATTACTCAAATACCCAAATTAGCAATGCTTTATCATTGTGAGTAAATGTACACATAATGATAAATAATTTATTTACTTATTTATAATAAATAGTAATTTATATAAATTATATACAAATAAGCAGTGAAGAAAATAATTTATTTACATATTTATAACAAATAATGTATATAAAATATATAAATAAGTAATAAAATAATTTATTTACTTGTATATAATATGTGTTTGTAGTATTAAGTGTTTTATTTCTTTTTTTAATTGAATGACTGTGAGATACAGTTACAAAGTAGTTCGTGATTGGGTTTCAGTCAAGCAATGTTTTCTTCTTGTGGAGTTTAACCAGTATTTTGTATATCCTGGATATCAACACCCATCACTTAATATTTTCTTGACAGATCACATGTTTAATATAATTCTTCCACCACCATTTACTTAAAAATTTTTTTAAATTTTTAAAATTTTTTTTATTAGTGAAACACCATGAGGTATAGTTGTAGATTTACTATTTTTTGTGCTTGGGTTTCGATTATACAATGATCAGATACTCATCCCTCCACCAGTGCCCATTTTCCACCACCATGGATAATATCCCCCCCACCCCCACACCCCCATCCCCCCCTGCCTCTGTGGCAGGGCAATCCACTGTGTTCTCTCTCTCGTTTTGGGTGTTGTGGTCTGCAAAAGAGGCATTGAGTGGCAAACATGTTCAGTCCATAGTCTACTTTCGACATGCATCTCCCCTCCTGGGAGGATCCTCCTAACACCCTTTATTTGGTGGTCCCTTCTCTATCTGAACTGCCCTTTCCCCTAGAATACCCGGCTGGCCTCTAAGTTATGGAGTAATCCTCCTGGTGCTGATCTCAGCTATTCTTGGGTATTAATCTCATATTTTGTTACTTTATATCCCCCAGATGAATGCAATTTTCTATGTCTATCCCTCTCTTTCTGACTCATTTCGCTTAGCAAGATACTTTCCATGTTGTACCACTTGTATGTAAATTTCATGACTTCATCTTTTCTAAGAGCTACATAGTACTCCATTGTGTAGATGTACCAAAGTTTCTTTAACCAGTCATCTGTTCTTGGGTATTCAGGTTTCTTCCAGTTTCTGGCTATTGTAAAGAGTGCTGCAATGAACAAACAAGTGCAGATGTCACTTCGACTATACATTTTTGCCTCTCTGGGATATATTCCCAGGAGTGGTATTGCTGGGTCAAATGGGAGCTCAATTTCTAATTTTTTGAGAATCGTCCATACTGTTTTCCAGAAGGGCTGAACCAGTCGACATTCCCACCACCAGTGAAGGAGTGTCCCTTTTTCGCCACATCTGCGCCAGCATTGGTTGCTTTTGTTCTTTTGAATGTGGGCCAGTCTCTGAGGTGTGAGATGGTATCTCATTGTGGTCTTGATCTGCATCTCCCTGATGATTAATGATGTGGAGCATTTTCTCATGTGCTTTTTTGCCATTCGATTTCTTCTTTGAGAAAATTTCTGTTCATTTCATTGCCCCATTTTTGGATGGGGTTGGATGTTTTCTTCTTGTGGAGTTTAACCAGTATTTTGTATATCCTGGATATCAACCCCTTTTCAGATGTGTATTCGGCGAATATCCTTTCCCATTCTGTAGAATGTCTTTGTATTTTGGTCACTGTTTCTTTGGAGGTGCAATAGCTTCTTAGTTTAAGATAGTCATTTATCTATCTCTGTTTTCACTTGCTCGGCCAGTGGCGTGGCATCTTTGAAGATACCATTAGCTTCAATGTCATGGATGGTTTTGCCAACTTTGTCTTCAATGTACCTTATGGTTTCTGGTCTGATGTTGAGGTCTTTAATCCATTTTGATCTTACTTTTGTACATGGTGTTAGGCAGAGTTCTGAGCCCATTTTTTTGCATGTAGCCATCCAGTGATGCCAGCACAATTTGTTAAAGAGGCTTTCCTTACTCCACTTCACATTACTTGCACCTTTATCAAAGACTAGATGATCATATGATTGAGGGGAGATGTCAGTGTATTCAACCCTGGTCTGCAGTTCTGCCTTTGTTCCAGTACCATGCTGTTTTAATTATTACTGCTTTGTAGTACAGTTTGAAGTTTGGGAGGTTGATTCCTCCCATTTTCTTTTTCCCAAGAATTGCTTTAGCTATTCGTGGGGGCTTATTGTTCCATATAAATTTCAGGAGTGTTTGCTCCATTTCTTTGAAGAATGTCATGGATATCCTTATAGGGATTGCATTGAATTTATACAATGCTTTCGGTAGTATTGCAATTTTGACAATGTTAAGTCTCCCGACCCATGAGCAGGGGATATCTTTCCATTTCCTCATGTCCTCTTTTATTTCCTGAAGTAGCGTTTCGTAGTTTTCTTTGTACAGGTCGTTTACTTCCTTAGTTAAGCTGATTCCTAGGTACTTGATTTTCTGGGGCACAATTGTGAACGGGATTGTTTTTTTCATGTTGCTTTCTTCTCTCTCACTGTTTGCATATAGAAAAGCCATGGACTTTTGGGTATTGATTTTATAGCCTGCAACTTTACTATACTAGTCTATTGTTTCTAGGAGTTTTTTGGTGGAGGTTATTGGGTTCTCTAAGTAGAGTATCATATCATCTGCGAATAGTGATAACTTGATTTCTTCCTTTCCTACCTGAATGCCCTTAATATCTTTTTCTTGCCTAATCGTTATTGCAAGCACTTCCAGTACTATATTGAAGAGCAGTGGAGATAGTGGGCATCCTTGTCTCGTCCCTGATGTTAGAGGGAAGGCTCTCAGTTTTTCCCCATTGAGGATGATACTTGCTGTAGGCTTGTGGTAGATGGCTTTAATTATGTTGAGGAAGGTCCCCTCTATACCCATTTTGGCTAGGGTTTTCATCATAAAGGGGTGCTGGATCTTGTCAAATGCTTTCTCTGCATCTATTTATATAATCATATGCTTTTTATCTTTTCTTTTGTTGATGTGATGGATTATGTTGATTGATTTCCGAATGTTAAACCATCCTTGCATCCCTGGGATGAATCCTACTTGGTCATGGTGTATGATCTTTTTGATGAGTAGTTGGATTCTATTTGCTAGTAGTTTGTTGAGAATCTTTGCATCTGTGTTCATCAGGGATATCGGTCTGTAATTCTCTTTCTTTGTGCTATCTCTGTCTGCTTTTGGTATCAGTGTGATATTTGCTTTGTAGAAACTGTTCGGAAGTGTTTTTGGTATTTCAATTTCGTGGAAAAACTTAAAGAGGATTGCGAGTAAGTCCTCTTTAAAGATTTGGAAGAATTCACTAGTGAATCCCATCCGGGCCAGGACTTTTGTTCTTGGGGATACTTTTTATTACCATTTCAATTTCCTTGATGGTGATAGGTCTGTTCAGGTATTCCACGTCTTCTTGGTTCAGCCTTGGGAGTCTGTAGGAGTCTAGGAATTTATCCATTTCCTCGAGGTTTTGACGTTCCGTGGCATAAAGCTTCTCAAAGTACTCCCCGAGGATCCTTTGAATTTTGTAGTTTCTGTTGTAATGACCCCCTTTTCATTTCTGATTCGGTTTATTAGGGTTTTCTCTCTCCCTTTCTTTGTGAGTTTTGCTAGAGGCTTATCGATCTTGTTAATTTTCTCGAAGAACCAGCTCTTGGTTTCATTGATCTTTCGGATTGTTTTTGGGGTTTCCATCTCATTAATCTCCGCTCTGAGTTTTATTATTTCCTTTCTCCTGTTCGGGTTGTGCTCCTTTTTTTGGTCCTTCTCCAAGCTCTTAAGCTGTGAGGTTAGGTTACTTATGTGTGCTCGCTCCTCCTTCCTGAGGAATGCTTGTAGAGCTATACACTTTCCTCTTAACACAGCTTTTGCTGTGTCCCATAAGTTTTGGTAACTCGTGTTCTCATTTTCATTCGTTTCTAGGAATCTTTTGATTTCCTCTTTGATTTCCTGTCTAATCCACTCGTTGTTCAATAGCGCACTGTTTAATTTCCAGCAATGATGTCTTTGACAGTTTCTTCTTCATCAAGGTTTTCTTCCTGTACCTCTGGGACTCCAATAATTCTTATGTTCCCCCTCTTGGCTTCATCACGATCTTCTCTTGCCATCTGTTCCCGAATTGTGAGTCTCTTTTCCATTTTCTGCTCTTTTCTGGAAAGTCTCTGAACTTCATCTTCGAGCTCACTGATTCTGTTCTCAGCAGCTGTTACTCTGCTGCTGAGGCCTTCCACTGAGTTTTTCAATTCGCCTATGAGATTTTTCAGGTCTGACATTTCCGATTGCATTTTCCTCATTTCTGCCTTCAAATCCACTTGTCTTCTATTGGCATTGCTTTCCATTGTTTCTTTTAGTTCCCTAAGCATCCTAAGTAGCTCCCTTCTGAATTCCTTGTCAGAGAGGTTGTCTAACACTACAGTACTGTTGGTGTCATCTGGGCTAGACTCTTCAATAAGAAAGTTTGGTGGGCTTTTGCGTTGCTTTACCATTGTGACAAGTGTGGTTTAGTCCTTCACGTTCACTGTTACTATTCTGCTTGATATGCAGTGTGAGTTAAGATAGGCTTATGAGTTATTGGCTACTGTGTTTCTAGTGGCTGAGCTAAACTAGAGAAGTTTCCATCTAAGAAGATAGCTTATGGTTCCTATGGCATATGTAGTGGGAAAATATTTCGCGGCCGCGTTAGCGGCCATGGCTCCGGAAAGAGTCCCTGGCACAGGGCGAGGAGTTGGGAACATCTCCTGGTTGGAATGAGGAGCCATTCAGCTTTGTTGCCCAGAGCTGGGCCTCCGTGCCCGTCCCGCGCAGATCAGGGGAG